TTTGGATGCATGATTAGTTTTACCCGCATTTATAACGTGAATAGTAGGCAGTTTCCTTAGAAATTCCTTTACGAAGGCATTCCTTTCTACAGGCGGATAAGCCCTCATGCGCTTTAATTCTTTAAGGATGATGATTGAATTTGGTATAAATTCCTCAGGCTAATCAGCTAATAAAAAGAGTAAAAGGCTAGATTTTATAAGGTATAAATGAAAGGTCAAGGCACATGGTTAACGACCTTTCATTCATTTGATTTTCTGTAATGAATTACAATGAGCCTTTTACAATTATGGCTTAATAGCACTCTTCCATATAAATACATACACTAAGCCCAGATGTGTGGAGCTGCTATGTATCTATGTAAATTATAATTTCGGGTATCCAGGTGTTAATAACAGTATGGTAGACTTAATTAGATTCTACTGTTGAAAAAGTCTAATGAAACATTTACTTTTCGAGCATTCAAATGTACCCCCTTTGTATGTTATACATAACCCATTTACTTTTTCCACTTTTATGTGTCCTTTGCATATTACATGAAACATATATTTTTTCCACTTCTACGTAATCCTGGTATGTTAAACGAAATAGTTATTCCTACTGTTATGGGCTGTTTAATTAAGATTCAAAATTTGTTTTTGAATACAATTATTTATAACACTTTTTTAATATTAAAATATTCGGTAATTGTACACTAATTGGAATGTGTTGCTAAATCTGCTTTTATTTAACATCGATTTCAAGCTGAAAAATTCGTAACATTTCTAGAAAATGAGGTGAGAGGTCTTTTTTCTTCTGTAACACACTGTTTTTCTCTCTTCAAACGTATCATCTGGCTTTTCAATTGAAATCAAGATTTCAGCGTTGAATTTCATCATTATTATTAGTTTTGTACAAGAATATTTATTACTACTACTCGTATAAGAGAGATGTAATTACTTATGCAATTTATGTCTCTTGTATACAAGGTATAAACTTTAATTTAATTAGTTTAATAAGTTTTTTAAATTAAATAAACAATCAAAATTCATTTACCAAATAAAATAAAATTCAAGTCTGGAAAACTTTTTATATTTAATTTGCATTTTTCTATTCTAAATACAATTAAAATTGAAAGATCAAGCCTCGTTTATTGACGGATGACAGTACAGCAAACATGAAAGCCTACCGTTTCAATATGAATTACAACAGTGACTTTCAGCTCAGGAATGTAAAAGCAAAGTATTTTTAATTGGCTAATTAAAGAGCCGTGTGATACATGGCGATATATCGAACTACCAGGACAACATTTATTTACAAACCTACTTTAGTTTTCAGAGATTGGTGATTCAGAGAAAGATAATAAAAATGATATTTAAATATCCAATCTAATTATTTACAAGAATAAAAGAAATTACTAAATTAATAATGATTATTTTCTTTCTCACTTAAACAGAAAACATAAACAGAGCTGTATGTTCTTTTAAGACTAAAACATTTTTATATTCACAACACGTTTCAGAAATTAATTTCGTATGCTCTATAAATAGCAGCTACTTTGAATACTTATATTTAATTTCAAAAGGTAATAATAAAGAATCATGCATGATTTTTTTCCCTTTGTGGACAAAGTCTGAAAAATAAGGCCATTCTCCATGCATTTCAGGGAGCTTAGCTATAAATAAATAAATAAATGAAGTTTTATTTTCTGTATGCTATATCGATATTATTCTAAACTTCTACAAACCTGAATTCTATGTTGGAATATATTTATACAGTTACATGGTACAGAGTATCCCTTGAGCTACTTCAGAGAAAAAAATTTGCTTTTCATCTTAACTGTGATTTTATCTGTTACAATCTAGGAGGGTTTTTATCTGAAAACTCTTTCCGGATTTCCCTTTACTTTGGCTGATATTTTTTCTCATTTAGATTATGTGATTCGGCTATACATCACTCTACATTCATTGAATAATTTTACATATAATCAAATTTAAAAACTACCTTGCAAACAGTTTTAAAACAGCCCTTAAAATCTCTTGCTTAAAGTCAGTCTGCCTTATGTCAATATGATTTGATTTAACATTTTAATTTTTCTCAGTGTACAGATACTAAATTTGCATGCAAACCAAGTTAAAATGGCTAATTTAGGTATAATTTTTCTAAAAATTGTGGTTGCTACGATACCTCTTAATTAAATATTTTATTAAAATTTTGTCTATTAAATATCGACTTAATGATGCACATATAAAAAGCGCTGAGTAGATGAATTATTTGTTATTAGTATGTGAGTCAGTTTTGAAAATTAGTTAGATTATGTGTGTAACTAAAAATACAATAGTATTGTACCTGATATGCTTTAAATTAACTAATGCAAAACGTAAACATTTTAATTGTCATGCTGACAGTACGAATATAAATCTGAAAGCTTTACTAGATAATTTTATGAATACGTAGTAAAGCTTTCCTGTTTAAATTCAATAATATATAATAAGATTTATTAGATACTTTATGAATGTTTTTTATTCATGTTTTGGTGATTCACACTCATAATACAGAAATGATTATTTGAAATCTGTAGCTATATTGTGCTAAGCTTACTAAAATCTATTTTCTCTGTATGTTTTACATGTTGCTAATTATCTGTATACAAAATGAGTTAAAGAGACGTAAGTGGTAAGAAACTACTAATGAACAAAATTTATGTTGCATAAAAATACGAAACCTTCGTTACCTGGAATATCAATATAACCGAAACAGCTTTATTCATGATTGTCAAAATTCAGTCTTCCCACATCCATATTCAAATGATATATGGTTTTTGGTTATACAGAAACCAACATTTAATTATTAATCTTTTTTACATCTCTTTAGAGGCGATCATTTTTATCAACGAAATTTTGCATTCAAAACGATATATATACATTCCCCAAGGCACGAGCGTGTGCATGAGTGGACAATATCCTATACCTTTAAAATATCACAATATACAATTCCAGTTAAATGTACGTTACGCCCCCCCTCCACATACATATTAGAAACAAATAACATTTAAATATGACTGTTATGTAAACTTATGATCTGCCAATGCATAAAAGCATTCAATATTTTATTTTATTTTTATTTATTTTTTAAATAACATTGCATATTTTATTTTTCTAGGCATAATAGGTTTTCTGTAGCTCCATAAACATTTTCAGAACTCGCTATGCTATTCTGAATTACTGTTCTTTGCAGTTCATTTAACTTGAAATCCCATTTTGTACGACCTGCAGAACAATTAAATGTCAAACTTCTATTGCATCTTTGATTATACAAGAATTAAAATACATTGCAAGCAGGCTATAGACTCTGAGGAAACATATATAAGCCTAAGATGAAACTCATTAATCTAGTTGTCAAATTTTTATTATCATTATATTTAGGATGTCAAATTTCATATAAAGAATACACAAAATTATGCATATAGGTAAGTCTAACTAATACATTAGGCTTAAAATATGCTTAAATTTAAAAAGAAACATTTGCTAAATTTTCGGGGTTAAAAGATTAAGCAATTAATTAAAATATATATATTTTTTTTAATTATCCTTTTTGTAATCATAAACCATTATTTCTGAAGGTAAATTTATTTCTATTTAGTAACATTCTACTGTAATTCGTTTTGTAAAACGTATAAAAGATCTTAACTAATATGCTATTTCAAATGCATTCCCCCCCCCCCACCGGGCAATGGAAAGTAGCATTTAGAAAAATCTGATATCTTCAGTAAGGATTACGATGTAGATTTCAAAAGGAAGTTAAAATATTATGATTCCATTGAAAATGTTCGTATAATGCTAAAACGGATATACCCTTATTGAAAGGATTCATATAATGCCTATAATTTGAAATTATGCAAAAAGGTAACCTTAGATTGGCGTACATTAGAATAAAACCCCTCCTAAAAGTAAACTGAGTTTTATTTAAAATCCACGCCCATCTAATCTTGCTTTTCTGCTTTATTTTAAATGTTATTGCTTTGTTAAGCTAAACCAATCAACTATCAATTTTTTATTCAGGGTGTCTTCGATGTTCTGACAAAACACAAAAGCTTTGTTTAGAGGAAGAGCTGTAAATAGAGATCGAGTTATGAATTCAGGTATCCTTTATTGACACCGCTTTCGAAGAATATAGCGGTCATTAAATATCCTCTAAAGACATTATAATTCAAATAATAGATTAAGTTTATAAATTACATAATAGAAACAAAATTACTGTTTATAAAAGCATTGAGATGTTCATGTCTTGTAAAAAAATTTCTTTGCACAAACTTTTTAACAGTAGTTCACTTAAATAACAAAAATAAACAAAACCAAATACACAGTCTTGGCCAACCATGCCCGAATCCAAATTTTTTCCATTATAGTTAAATTCCTTTTATATTAACAGGTTAGTTCTTTTAAATATTTAAACTTAAATAACAGGTTAATTTTTTAATCATTAAACCAAAGAGTGAAAACGATGTTTTAACATATCCTACCACCCGCTTTTTTATTTCATTCATTTACTTATGAAGTTTTTCCTTGTGTTTGTGTCTACTAAGAGCCTGTCTACTGGTTATATTATGCATGTTTAAGGTCAGCAAAAACAGATAAAGCGCAATATCAGGGGTTCTCAATCGGGGGGAGGGTATTCCCCCTGGGGGAATTTCATAATTTCAGGGGGGAGGGAATATAGTCAGCCTTTTATTTATCTATTCAGTATTTAGCTTTAGTGTATGAATATAAAAAATACTTTTATTTACATTTTGGTTTTCATCAATATTTTCTACCCTTAATTTATAAATCACATTAAAAAACAATTTAAATAAATTTATATGTATTTTTCGAGGTTGGTAAAGGGAGGGGGAATTGATGGTCTAGCAATAATAAAGTGGCGCATGGGGAAAATAAAAAAAAAAAAAAGGTTGAGAACCACTACTAGTTGCAACTATGCAGAAGCAACCAAATCACTAAAATTAAAAATTAAATAAAGTACTCACCTTGAAAAGGATATGAAGCCGGGTAGAGAGGTCTCAAACTCATGCAGTCAGCCGCCCATCTAAAACTAGGGGCCATCTCTGTCCCCTGCAGCTGATCCAGACTACGCGAATCCAGAATTAAAAACTTCCGATTTGGATCTGGTCAAAACGGGAAGAAAAAAAAACCCTTCCCCTCTTCACGGATCTAGTTCTGCACGCAGACGCAAATTCTTCATGCACACGGTTCTCAGCAGCGAAGAAATCGGCTCATCACAACTGTTGCCAAATTGCTCTGAGCTAATACTAACCTTCAAGCGATGCGCGAGACATGAGGCGGGGCTTTGCGATTAAGCATCGCGTCTCCGATTGGTCGGCGGCAAGAACAGAAAGTTTCTAATCCAAATCCCGCCTACCGGCTTGTTTTGCGAGTTTGGGAGAGCGTTGCCGCAGTTGTCAACTGTCAATAACTTTTTGAATGGGAGGGAGATCGGTTACTCGATTCTTCAGCCCCCAACTAAAGAGGGCGTGTCGAAAATGTCATTGTGCTGTCAACTGCTGGAAAATAATCCATGGAATAATGGATTGTAATCCAGCTCTGTCTGTTATCCGCATGAAATATTCCGTGGTAAAATGGGGATGTTTAAGGGTGTTAATGTTTGAACGATTATCCCTACCGCTAAAAAATTTTCTTTTTTTATTATATATTCTTTTCTAACTATTGTGTGAAAGAGGGTGCGATTTGGTCATGGATTTTCTTCCAAAAGGCCATGAAAATGAACAGAAAATCAGAGGTAAAAGAGCAACAATGAATAACACCCGTTAAAAATTACTGTGATGAAAATTACTGCAGTACACTTTTATAATGTAATAATCAGGTTTAATGTAAGAAAGCTTTATACATAGTGAAGTTTAAGCCACAAGACTTAGCAATAAATAGTTTTTGGCTTTATCTTCCAAATCTCTTCGAATCTTTACAAAATCTTATGAACAAGATGGTCTGTATGAAATAATAATTCCATTCAGAAAACCAATGCGTTTAGCAATAAAACTAACCCATTTAGTTTGCAAAAGAATTTTTAATTTTGCATGTTTTCAGGTCTTTTGCTGATAAAGTGTAGCGCCCATAGGCCAACCTAAATCTTCAAATATTGCTAACGTTACGTGTTGCTTTTTCATTTGAAACTGTGCAAATAATACAGCCTATTACAGGCCAAGTCCGTCTCAACAAGCTTCCTCCAATGGATCCGATCAGTCGCTATTGTACGTCAACAGATTTTCAAAGTCTTGAGAAAGACATATAATACGCCTTTTTATGAAAATCTAATAAGAATTCCATTTCCCTTATTAAGAATTTCATTTTCATTTCATTCCATTTTAGTCTCACTTCAGGATCATAAAAAAGAATGCAGAATTATGAATACGTACGACTCTGAGACACCTTAAAAACATCGAAGTGACAAATTGCTACACTGCGCGGAAACCATTTTTTGCTTCGTAAAACTCGAGAGGAGGAAAAAAAAAAGAAAAAAAAACGCATGATCTCTAGCTATTTTCAGTAAAGATTTACATTAGCTCTTGCAAATGAAGAAACTCTAGGGAAAAACTTGATTTCTAGTAATTTAGAGAAAAAAATTCCTGTCGCCAATACAAGTGTAAACTCTATTAAAAAAAAAAAAAAAAAGCTTCTGATTTCTAGCAATGTACAAAAGGAAAAGTTGCTTTTGCCAATGCAGATGTAACTCTTAAAAAAGAAAAAGGAATGATCTCTAGCCATTTATGGTAAAGAATTTCATTAGACATCTCAAATGTAAAGCTATTAAAAAAATTCCATGATTTCTAGCCGTTTACAATGAAGAATTGCATTAGCCTCCGGGATTTAACTATATATATATATATAAATCTGATGTGTACACCACATGACTTTCTTGCACGGAATATTAAATTATACGCATTTTTTCTCGCATTTCATTTAAACTTATTGGATTGAATTAATTCTACATTGTCGATAGCGCATAAACCACAATAGAATAATTGCACTTTTTAAAATTCATTATATTTGTTTAGCATAGCGACACTCTGGCGCTAGGTTCACTAACAGCTTGAAATTTCGTCTATATTATAACTCAAAATGCATATAAATTTATATCATTTGAAGAATTATCTAATCGTTGCCGCATGTTCTATTCAAATACTATAATAAATCTAGAACGATGTATAAAAGAAATTAAGCAAACAAAACAAAACAAAACAAACAAAAAAAAAAAAAAAAAAAAAAAAAAAAAAACAGTTCTTCACAGACGATTCAGTATTTCTCATTCAATTAATTCAGTTCTCACATCCCGACAAGACAAAAATACATAAAAACTCAAAATATTTATATTGAAAATTACGAAGTAAATCGGAAACACTTACTTCCTCGAGTAAATTCCAGAATGGATTAAGCATAATTTAATTCGCAATAATAAAAGAAGGCGTTATCTTTGTTGTCGTTAAGTTTGAAATGTAAATAAACATGGCCGCCATCGCAAAATTCATTAGGCTTAGCTGCACTTAAAGAACTTTTAAATTGTTAATAACTCCACAAATATTGCATGCAGATTTACTAAAGGCATAAAAACCTTAACCGGAAGATAGGAACAACATAATTCAATCATTTTTAAAGCAAAAAATGCCCAATTTACAAACATATAAGCGTAAAGAAACTGAGCTCACTGAGCCGAGTAACATTTTGTATACTTTTGGTGCGGCCGATTGCAAACAAAATACGAAGTGCACATTTACATGTTATAGCAGTCCCACATACAAAATTTCAACGTTCTGAGGCTACTCGTTTTTGAGTTATGCGAGATACGTATGTACGCCCAGACGACACGAAAAATTCTGTTCAGAATTCATTTTAAATCAGTTTTATAATTTTTTTTTGGGGGAAAGAGTCTTTTATTCTGTCCCTTACTTGCGGATGTCACGCAAAAACATCATTAAATTGCATTGGATAGCGGTCAAAATCGCTATTTTCGTTGAAATAGGATACCCGAAATTATTAGCGATTATAATACTTCCTTTATCCTTCCTACAAGGAAGTAAAAACGCACGAGATCTCTAGCATTTTACAATAAAATACTGCATTAGCCATCCGAAATGCAACTCTATAATTCAACGGATCTATAAAGATATCGAACGTAGTTTTAAAACTTGCCATGTCATTAATGGAACATATATCGAAACCTCTAACGTAAGAAGCAAACTTCTTAGCTTTAAACATTTAAATTATTTTTTATATCTTGATTAGCTAAGTACCATATTTTTAAAACCAATATCTTTTTTTTTTTTTTCGGGGGGGGGGGTCAACCGCTTACTCAAAAAAGAAACATTGTTTTGAGTTTATGCTAAAGCTGTGTACAATACTGCTTACCAGTGCCAGAAAACTAACCGCCTCCCCCAAAACAGTGATCTTCGATTTGTATTCGAATCCTCGTAATGGGAGCTGCATGGGAGTTCTTGTGACAACATCTGCATCAGGAATGCAATCCAGTTTTGCTCGAAAATTCTTTTCCGGAAGCATCTCGTTGTAGACCTTCAGCAGTACATGAGACATTTTGAGTTATCTTCAATATTATTAAAGAAAGTTAAGGTAGCATAATTTAAGTATTCAATATGCTTTTTCTGAACTGCTTAGAAACATTTTGCAATAAGTAGTGTTTATTTAATGTAAATAAAAAAGTTTCTGAACCTTGCATTAAGCTAATTGCAAAATTTCTAACTACTTCTTGCGAACACAAGCGTGTCCATACAGTATAAAATCTAGCAATTATGACCAAATTTCATAATAACATGCAAACTGGAAACCTCTCTCTAATTCCCTCCTCCCGAATTTTGTTTAAACGATACTATTCCCCCTCCGAGTGAGAGAACTTTCATATGATTTTCTATTCAAGAACGATAGGCAGAAACAAATATGTAGCTTTAAAAATTTTAATTATTTTTTTAATTTTAATTTATTCAGCAGTAAAGATTTAGCTTGATGAGTTGTTGAAAGTATATTATTTAAGGGGGAAAAAAAAAAAAAAAAAAAAAAAAAAAAAAAAAAAAAAAAAAAAAAACGAAATATTTGAATAATGTTTGCACATTTTAAATTTTTGAAAATTTTTAATGGTAAGTTCCTTTTAGAATTTTAGAAGGTGTTTGACTGTGTAAGTCTAAGCTTTCAAATTGCAAATCTGTTAACAAGAATTAGTTTAACATATAAACAAAGGTTCCTGTTTATGCTTTTTGGCATAGCATTTCATCAGATAGGATGTCATAACACTTTATGTGTTGGATGATGCTCCTGTTCGTAAACAGTCATTGAATTATTCAGCAAAGCAATTCTTCGAAATCTGCACTTTGATTTCATAACATTCATATCCAAAAGTAAGGATTTGCACAAATAAATCAAACCAGGGATAGAAATGATTTTACTATGCTTATTGCACTTTCTAAATAACGGAGAGTTTTCTTTCTCAGTCAAGCTTTAATAATTCTTATTTATTACACGCGAAATCATCATTCAAGAGATCCAAAATATCCTGACTTAAATAAATTTTTTAATGCAGTAACTTCTTTTTTTCTTTCGTTAAATTGTTAAAATTGGCTATGAAAGTGAAAAGTCGTTAAAAATTATTCGCAACAAAAAGTACATTTGAGGACATAAGCAGGAGAAGCCGAGTCCACGGCTTCTGTGAACGTCAAATCGTACCCAATGCATTTGCCTTTTAGTAAAAAAGTACTCTGAATTCATTTACATTACCTTGGAATAAAAGCCCTGATATTTTTTATTTGAAATCTTCACTAAACTGGGAATGAATTTTTGCTATTTTTCAAAGGCCAATTTCTTCTATATATGTTATTTTAAATGAGTTTGACTGAAATTCATTCCTAAAAAATATTTATGGTCGTTCTTACAGATTTATAGCAGATTGATTAAATCAATATATTAAACATATTATCTAATATTAAATATTTCTTAAATCTGTATCCTTTGATTTTTCTTCTAATGAACTATCAATTAATTTACAAAATATATTATTTACAATTTCGAATTTTCATTAATAATAATAATAATAATGTTTGATGGACTGAACATTTTTTTTTTTAAATACACGTACTTAACAGCTTAAGTTTTACTTCTCTTCTGACTTGAAGAACAATTGCTTTCGAAATACCTGAAAATGAAACTATCGCTTTATCTTCGTGTAGTTCCATTTCCTAGACGAA